TGGTCTCCCAACAATTTGAAAAGACTATACTAAGGATATTATATAGGAGACTAAGTTATACTTTAAGCTTCTATCAACTGTTGCCTCATCAAATGTTGGTTATGACTTGCTAATTAATCCTGTATTGTCAGAATCCCATTTTAAACTGAAATATTTGAGTAAGCTGTAACAAAAGGTTTATGAACAAAATTTTTAGAAGGCAATCTGTATCAACAAATAAAGGACTGCCTGAAAAATGTTTATGCTTAAAATACAATGACTACTGCATATATCCTTTCAACTTTTATGCTCTAGTCAATGTATTATAATTGAGCTCTACTGAATTGCTTTTCTAGTGGATAAATACTGTACACGCTGTAGTGTGAAGAGACATCATGTAATGTATACTAATTAAGCCATTATATCTGTAGAGAAGATTGTATCTGAAATATCAAATTAGCAGGAATTAAACATCTCAAAGGATTAATGAAATGTTATGGAGCCATTCACTTCCAGGTCAACAGGTTCAATTTCAGCTTAGTTTAATAGTTATAATGAATTTATGTGCTGTAGATAACAATTCTCGGCATCCATTGAGAAATCCTGGTAAGAACCCCTGGCTCCTACCAAGAACAGCAGACTTTAACCAGCACAGCCAGAACAATGTGGCCAGGAATATCATGCTAGGCCTATATTTGGCATGCTGCCTTAGGCTCCATGAGATCAAACAGCACATTTACTGGATGGCTGCAATATGTGTGGGCAGCAATGAGGGACACCAGAGACACTCTGTCAGTTCTCTTTACTGATCTGTCAACAATTGCCAGCCCCAGCAATAAAGTTATCACAGGCAGACCACTCAACTCCATCTTTTGTTTGATGTAGCTGAGAGTCCATCATGCTTATCCCAATTCCTCTCTCAGCAGCCCTTGCTGCTTCTAGCAAAGAAAAGGATGGGTGGGGATGCAGGAAAGGAAGAATTGCAGCCAACTATAATGCAGTGTTATCTCACAGCTACTGTGACAGTAAATACACAAGAAACCCTGATTTTGTGGTGGAATCACAACATTGAGGCTAAACTTTTTTTGAGGTTAAATAACCAGCATACAATAACCAGATTGCACATAAGAGGTTAAGAACATATAGCTGTACCTTTAGTCAAGTATGCATGAAGAGGTACATCCAACCTCTACAGATACACATTGAAAGGTGAAGGTCTGTGTACATGAAACAATCATCCAAAGCCTGTCACTTCAATTTGCTGTGAGGACTCTTGTTTCAGACACAGACACCACACAGCGTGCCGTGGTAAGCCAAGGTATGATTCAGAACACCACAGTCCTAGCCCCAGAGTTTTTCACTGATCTTACTGAAGCTTTACTAAAATCACTACCTTACTGAGCTTCAGCATCTCCAAAAGTGTTAGAAACTCCACCCATGCAGGTATCACAAAAAAAAAAAAAATCTTAATTAGTATTTATGAGGTGCTTCTAGTGAACTAGAAATGTAAGTTACTAATATCATCAGTCCTTACTGCAGGGGACCAAACCACACTCTGCAGTATGGACTGGAAACCTCAAGGAGCTGCAGTGCACTGCTGACAGCAAAGTCCTGCTGCCTCTACCACCCACACTTTGGGATCATCCTGCTTCCCCTTCAGAAGCTTCCAAGATCTGGAAGAACAACAAGGATTTTCAGCAGAGAGAATTCTGATACCATAAAATAGCTTACAACAGACTGGAAATAGTTTTTGAACCAGGGGTATTGAGATACCAAGACCACACTGAAAAAAAACAAAAAAAAAAAAAGCTGTGGCAGCCTACATAATATATGAAAAAAGCATCAAGCTTGCAGGATTGTTCTCTTTTAATGACTACAAACAGAATTCAAGAACAAAGAGGATTCTAACAGCTGTTTGCCTTGCTTTCCTGGCATTATGTATTTCAAGTTTAAAAAAAAAAGTAAACATGACAAACCAAGAGTTATAAGGAGCCACTTTTATTACAGGACTGCCTTGAATGCACATCCCCTGCTCATCAATCTCCCAACGCTCTCACTGCAATAAAGGAATTAAGAGATTTAGTGAAATTTGTTCTATATGTTTAGACTTTCAAGAGGAAGCTGTGAAGTACAGTATGCAATACTGGCAGTGTAAATACAGATGCATTTTTACTGCTCTCTCTTCCCTTTTCTCACTTTAGCCACTACTCTCCCTCTTTTTTGACATGCATCTTTCAACAACACTTCTAGATCTATTTTTCCTGTGACACACTAAGTTTCATAACTGCAGTGAAAAGTTTCTACAGATATCAGGAGCTTGCAATCATTTCCTAATGGATATATTTTAAAATTA